AGGCGGCGGGTGAGGGGGCGAGGCAGGCGGCAGAGGAGCAGGGGCCGGGGTCCAGCCACGCTCCCCGCCCCCAGCTGGCGGCGGGCAGCGCAGCGCAAAACACCGCACCAGCACCGGCCCCTGCTGCCATCCGGCGGGGCCGTGCTCCGCTGGCCCCCAGCAGCTGCAGCCGCCAGCGAGGGGCCTTGCCCCCCGCCCTGCCGCCAGCCCCGCCAGACAACACAACAGGAGAGCGCACCAGCGCGCCGGCGATCCACAGATCCCGCAGGTCGCTCTTCAGCTCCGCGTTGGTGGCCTCCAGGTCGAACAGGGCCTGCAAGCAATCGACGCAATCGACGTGAGCAAGGAAGACGTGAGGAAGGCAAAAAAGCAGGGAGGGGTCAAACAATCGGCTGCGGCATGTGGGCTGGTGGCCAGCCCGCCGGGCCAGCCTCCGGGCGAGCATGGATTCAGGGGGCCGCAGCTGGCTGCGGCTGCCGTCAGCGCTGCGAGGAGGCGCCTGGCTGCGGAGCTGCTGGGCTGGGAGGGCTGCGGCGCGCCGGGCTGCTTGTCGACAGCTGCTGCGCGGCTGGCGGGGCTGCCAGGTCCAGCCGCTGGCGCAACGCAAGCCAGCCAAGCTGTTGGTGGCCACCTAAGCTGCAGCACCAGCACCCCAGCTCCTCTGCTTCCGCCAGCGCCTCGCTGCTGCCCATTTCATGAATTCACGTAGCCCGAGCTGCTGTTGCCGCTGTTCCAGTCCAGCCTCCCGCCGCCGCCGCCAGACATGCGCCGCGCCCGCCTGCGCTGCCTGAGCCTGCATGCGGGCGGTGCGGGCGCTCATCGCACCTGGGCCACCTGCTCCTCCAGCTCAGTGGGCTCCGCGCCCGCCTCCTTGGCGATCTTCTTGCGAGCCGTGAACATGGTGGCTCACGGGTCGCAAGGCTGGGACAGGCTGCAGCGGGGATACGGCAGCGAGGGCAGGGGGCCACGAATATCAGCACAAGGGCGGCAGCCAGCCCCTGGCTCCCTGCTGAGAGCGCCGGGCCATGCCCATGCGGGGCTGGCGGGCTGGCGATGCCATTGGGATGTCCACAGTACAGTGCGCCCCAATCCAGGCCGCCTGGACCATGCCGCCGCCCCCAGCCCGCTGCCGCCCGTGTCATGCGAGCTGCTGGGCCCCGATGCTGCCTGGGCCTGCGGCAGGAGGCTCACCTTCCCGTCACGAGCACCAGAAAAGAGGGAGAGGCAGGCCCTGCGACCACTTTCATGTGGGCCCTGGGACGAGCAGTGCCCCGCGCGCTGCCTGACTGGCGCCTGGGGACTGCGCCGCTGCCATTTCCGCGTCTCGTATTCAACTGGAAGCACACCTGGTGTATTCCACGGGTCCCCAGCCAAATTCCAGAGGCTCTGCGATTGTCTGATCGCCCGTCGCCCTCGGCTGGGCTGGGCAGGCCCCTGGGCAGAGCCAGAGGAGGTCAGTGGTCCATCCTAGCCGGCGCCGCAGCGGTCTGGCGCCACCCGGTCCCTGCTGCCGCCGCCGCCGCTGCCTCTGGCACCGCCGGTCAGCCCAGGTTGAGCTGCCGCGATGGGCAAGAAGCGGGCGCAGAAGGACCGGGCCTACTTGACAGCCACAGAGTGGCGCGAGGAGCATGGCGGGTGGGTGCCTCCTGCTTGCCTCCCTACGCGCTCCCTGCGCGCCGCTGGCACCGGCACCAAGCGCTGCCCGTCTGCTTGCCTGCCACCGCACCCGGCTGCGGGCCCTCCCAGCCTACCCACCCGCCAGCCCGCCACCGCACGCCTGCGGTCCCTGTCCCACGCTCCCACCCCGCTCCTCTGCCGCCCCGCAGTTTCAAGGGCGGGCGCGGCGGCCCGTCCTTCAAGCGCCTGCCCTACACACACTGCGCCATCTCCTTCCAGCCGTTTGAGGATGCGGTGAGGGCCGGGGGCTGCTGGTGTTGCAGGGATTGGCTGGAGGATGCTGGTCCCTGGCTGCTGAGGAGGCCTACCGCAGCCCTGCCTACTGCACCCCACACGCCGCCGCCGGGCCCTGCCAACGCCACACCTGCCGCGCCGCGCTTGCTCTCAGCTGCTCCAACTACACACACGCGGTGTGTGCACCGTGCCGCAGGTCTGTACCGCCGACGGTACCTGCATGGACATCGTGAATGCGGTACCGTACATCCAGAAGTTCAAGAAGCACCCGGTGACGGGGCAGCCGCTGGAGCTCAAGGACTTGGTGCGCCTCACTTTCCACCGCAACACCGACGGAGAGTATGCGTGCCCCGTGCTCGGCAAGGTGCGCCGCCCACTGTGTGCGCGCGCGTGTGTGCATAGGTGTGTGCCCATAAGCACGTGTTCTGGGGAGGCAGCAGCGGCAGGGATCTTGGGCCGATCCGAACTTAAGCCACCAACCCCTGCTGCTAACATATTGACCGCGCCACTCTGCGCGCTCCACGCTCCCTGCTCGCGACCCGCAGGTGTTCACGGAGCACACGCACATCGTGGCGGTACGCCCCACCGGCAATGTGTACTGCTGGGAGGCAGTGGAGGAGCTGTGCCTCAAGCCCAAGAACATGCGGGACCTGCTCACGGGTGCGGCTGGGCTGGGCATGGCGGCCGTGCCCTTCTGTCCTCCCTTCTGAGTGGCTGGGCTGGCGGCGGCCTCGGGCCAGCGGGGCTGGCCTGTACTGTCCTGTGGGGAGAGAGTGGGGCCGCTGCATGCCTGCCCCGTGCCCACACTCCACCACCGTCACTCCCACCCCAGCCCACCCTCTGGCCCACCCTCCCCTGCCTGCGCCCGCCCTGCCCCCCCCTGCAGACGAGCCCTTCACCCGGAAGGACCTCATCCACCTGCAGGACCCGCTGAACCTGAGCGGCAGGAACCTGGCGGAGTTTGACCACGTCAAGCGGGAGCTGGTGGTGGATGAGGAGGCGCGGGCGGCGGAGGAGGTGGGGCGCGGGGGCGGGGGCGCGCGGGGAGGAGGGCGTTTGCTAGTTTTTGTGGCGTGTGTGTGTGCAGGTTTGTGTGTGGCGGTGGTGGCGTGTGGGAGCATGGTCGTGGTGGAGAGGCGCATCGACACAGTACATGTACGGTACGCTTTGATGTACCACCTGTACCGCCTGTGCCCACCCCCCTGTACCGCAGGAGGACCCCATGTTTTACATCAAGGGGGCCACAGAGGACACCAAGCGTGTGCTGGACGGTGAGGAAAGCTGGGCTGAGGTGGCACCAGCGGGGCGGGGTTCAGCAGCGGCAGCGGGCGACGTGCTGCTCAGAAGATGCGTGTGGCTGGGAAGCTTTATGCATGCCCGGCTTGCTGCCACAGCAGCAGCAGCAGCCCGCCCTACCGCGCCCTTGCCCCTTGCCGCCCCGCCGCCGTGCAGCACTGAACAGCCAGGAAGCCGCGGCGGCGTTTGCGGCGGGCGGCGGCGGCAAGAAGGCGCAGGCGGAACGCGTGCTGGCAGAGGCGAAGGCCGCGGCGGCCGCGGCGGCCAAGGGCAGCGGGAAAGACGGCGACAAGGCGGCAGCGGCGGCGGCAGCGGCGGCGGCGGCAGCGGCAGCGGCAGGGGGCAGCGACCCTCGCCTGCGGTCGGCGCCGCGGCAGGACGTCAGCGCCAAGTGAGGGCCTGCCGCCGCTGCCAGGCCCGGCGCTGCCGACAGCGCTGCCTGAGCTGCTCCTGCCTTGGGGTTGGGGCTGCAGGGCTGCCCACTCCTCCCGGCCCTCGCCTTACGCATGTCTGTTCTCGCCTCGCCACACGTGTGTCCCTGCCGCCACCTGCCGCGCAGCTTCCGGCCAGGCGCCGCCACCTGGAACACAGACGAGCCCGGGGCGCCCGGTACCGCGCCCGGAGGGCCCTCTGCGCAGAAGAAGGTGGGAGCCAGGGGCAGGCAGGCTTGGGGCACGGAGGCTAGCTTGAGCTAGGCCTACACCCAGCCCCTGGCATGGGCTGGCCGGCAGCTCGGCAGCCTCGTTTCCACCTGCCTCGCTTCCTCCCGCCCCGCCTTCTCTCCCTCCATCCATCCATCCACCCCGCCTGCGTGTACTGCCTGCAGGAGGACTTGTCGGCGGGGCGCAAGGTGCCCGCGCCCTACAGCCAGAAGACCGAGGAGGCTTTCCACACCACGGGTGCGGTGCACGCGGGGGAGGCTGCCTGCCTGCCCGCCTGCTTCTGCCTATACTGTGTGCAGCACAGTACTGCCTGTGCTGCTAGTACTGCTGCTCGTTGACCGTGCCGCACCGTGCCGCACCGTGCCGCACCGTGCCGCACCGTGCCGCACCGTGCCGCACCGCGCCGCACGCGTGCCGCAGGCGCCGCCTCCCGCGCCTTCACCTCCACCACCATGGCCCCCGCCACCAAGAACGAACGCACCGTGAGGCTGATCCAGCTCAAGCCCACCACCAAGGGGTGAGGGCGGCGGCAGCGTGTGTGCATTGGGCAGGGCAGGGCCGTCGTTGCGAGCGGCCTCCTGTTCGCACGGACGGCGGCACGCAGTACGCAGCAGCAGCGGCAGGAGCGGCAGCGGCAAGGAAACCTCCGGTACCACCACCACCAGCATCCAGCCACCGCCACCAGCACTTGCAGCAACGCCACCCCCCTCCTCCCTCCACCGGCACCCACGCCACCCGCCGCTCTTGTGCCCGTGCAGCTACGTGCGCCTGCACACGACCCTGGGCGACCTCAACCTGGAGCTGCACTGCGACATCTGCCCCCGCACCTGCGAGAATTTCATGGCGCTGGCGGAGAGTGGTGAGGGGCTGCACCCTTGGCTTGACTTGACTTGGCTTGACGCACAGAGCGGGACCGGCAGCGGAGGGCGCTGCTGGTGTGAACACGGCGCGGAGATGGAGGGGGTGGGAGGGGCGGCGCGGCTGCTGGTGCCGTGTGCACGTGCTGCGCCCGCAGGCGCAGCCCGGAAGACATGCCGGCACAACCTTGCCCTCCTCGTCTGGCCGACCTGGTACTGCATGTCCCGCTCTTGGTACCGCAGGATACTACAACAACACCTCCTTCCACCGCAGCATCAAAAACTTCATGATCCAGGTGGGCAGGTGCAGCACCTAGGCGCTAGCCCGGCGCAGCCTGCCCGCCCACGCCCCACCTCCCTGGCCCTCCCCGCCCCGCCTGCCTGCCTGCCTGCCCGTGAGCCGCTGCCGCCGCTCTCCTCACCACTGCTGCTGCCGGGCGCTGCTGCTGCGCAGGGAGGGGACCCCACGGGCACTGGGCGTGGCGGGGAGAGCGTGTGGGGCGCCAAGTTTGAGGACGAGTTAGACTCCCGCCTGCTGCACAGCGGGCGCGGCATTTTGTCAATGGCCAACTCTGGAAAGAACTCAAACGGCTCCCAGGTGCGCCCGCCCGCTGCTGGCGTGCTCGCACGTGCTGCGGCCCGCGGCAGGCGGGGCCGCAGGGCGCCGCGGGGCGGCTCTTCCCACCCGCCGCACCCGGGCTCCCCGCCAACCACATGCACACGCCACCAGCCGCACAACACGCATCCCCACACGTATGTGCTGCCACCCCACACCCTGCCCCACACCCTGTACCGCAGTTCTTCCTGCTGTACAAGTCAGCCCACCACCTTGATTACAAGCACACCGTGTTTGGGCGGGTGGTGGGAGGTGCGCTCGCCTGCCCCGCTCGTTGCCCACCGCCCTCCGCCCAGGCTGTGCCGCCGGCCATATCCCCGGCTGCTTGCCGCGACCAGGGGGGCCGCTGGTTGCAGCGCCGCGGGGCGCAACCTCGGGCTGCCGTAGGCTGGTTCTGCTGCTGCTGCTGCTGCCGCTGGTGCTGATGCTGGCATTTTTGCCGGTACCGGTACCGCAGGATTCGATGTGCTGACGGCCATGGAGAAGGTGCCCACCGACGACGAGGACCGGCCTCAGCAGGTCGGGCCCGCCAGCGGACACAGCAGGCGCCTGCACGAGCAGCTCATGCGTGGTGGCGTGTGTGTGGCGCGTGCGTGTGGCGTATGGGGTGGCAGGGCTGCTCTGCGTCTCCCGCCCTGCTCAGCCCCTCGCTCTGCTTGCCTCTGGCCGCCGTGCCTGCGCACTCGCCGCAGCCTGCCTTGCCTCTGCACCCTCCTGCCCGCCTGCTTGCCCTGCTTGCCCTGCTTGCCTGCCTGCCTGCACTCATCTGCCAGCTTGCCCTGCCCCGCCTCTGCAGGACATTCGCATCACCGGCGCCACCGTGTTTGTGAACCCCTACAAGGAGCTGCTGGAGGAGGAGGAGAAGGCGGAGGTAGCCAAGCGCAAGCAGGTGGGGTCCCCGGCAGCGCGGGCAGGCGGTGGCGAGGTGTGTGTCGTAGCGGTGGTGGTGACAGCGGGAGCCCCCGGCCTGGGGCAACAAACAAGGCCGTGCCGAGCCCCTCTTCCTGCCCCTGCTTCCTCGTGGCACGTGCAATCACACAGCCGTTCTGCCTGCCATTGCTGGGCACCTGCAGGCCGAGAAGGAGGAGCAGGGCTTTGCTGCGGATGACGAGTTTGGGCGGTGGTGGTCCAACCCGGCGGCTGCGGGCGAGGGCGGTGGCGGCGTGGGGCGTTACCTCTCCGCCATCCCTGGGGCTGCTGCTGCTGCACCAAAGGCCGTGCCAGCGGCAGCGCCGGGGGGGCAGGCGGCCAAGAAGGCCAAGACGGGCGGCGGCGGCTTTGGAAACTTTGACGCCTGGTGACCCGTGCCTCCTCCTCTGCCTGGCGACCTGTTGTCCGCCTGGGCTGTTGCCTCCCCAACCCGTCTCGCTCTTGCCTCGCTGTTTGCTTGCTGCTCCGCTGTCCCCCTCTGCTCGCTGTGCTCTCCCTGCCTCCCCGCAAACTTTCTGACCCACCACGACACCGACCGCTCCCCTTACCCCTCCTGCTGCCTCCACCCTGACAGTCGATTTGGTGCAAACGCATTACTCTTGTCTTGTGGAATTGTCTGTGTTGGCGCTAACAGGTGGCACTGCGCGGTTAGATGCGGGATAGAGGGAGAGAGGGTGCAACGGAGGAGGAGGAGAAAGAGGGGAGCGGAAGGAGGAGCGAGAGGCGGTCCTGGCGCAGGCCGCTTGATGCAGCCGGCGCCGGGCTGCCCCGCAAAAGCTTCCGGCCTGGCGAGTTTCTGGCATGCTGAACCCAGGCTCCAATTCTGCACAGGGTGTCACGGCCTCGCCGCCTCTACAGGAGGGGCTCCGGCTCGGGGATCAGGTAGAAAGAGCGGTACAAGCTGGTGGCATTGGCCTTGCCCTTGAGGATGTCCACGCCCAGGTCGATCCAGCTCCGGTACTTGGCCACGCTGGTGAAGCCGCCTGCAGGGGAAGAAAGGAGAGGGAGAGGAGGGAGGGAGTGAAGCGCGGGGTGCATGGTCGGTGGCCAGAGGGAGAGGGCGACATGCGGCAGGCGAGGCAGGCAGCGTGCGCGGGGCGAGGCGCCAGCCGCAGAGGACGCAGCGGGCGAGCCCAGGGCGGCGGTTGAGGCAGCAGGCCAAAGGGCTGGCCGGCAGGCGAGGCTCACTCAGGCCGCCGCGGCCGCAGCCTCCGGCCCGGTACGCGCCGATGCCGACGAGCAGGTCGTGCCTGCGGGCAGAGGGCGGGAAAAAATGCCGGATGGCGGCCAGCGGTCGGAGCCGCACTCGGGAGGGAGCACAGCAGCAGCGGCGGCGGCGGCGGCGCGTCCTGGAGCCGGCCCGGCAGCCCGCCGCTGCACTGCACGCGCCGCCGACAAGGCAACAACCCGAGATACCGCGCGAGTGTTTTCCCCTTGGCTCACTTGACGTTCTTGCCGGGGATGAAGAGCGGGCCGCCGTAGTCGCCGCTGCAGATGCCCTGCGGCTTGCCCTTGGTGCCGGCGCACATGTTCTTGCCTGTGGCCCACACCTTGCCGTAGCCGGGGAACTCGCGGGCGCACACCTCAGGCGACTGCAGCGGCACCTCCGCCTGCACGGCGCAGGCAGGCAGGCGGCGGCACGGGCGTTGGACCCCGCAGCCCAGGCTGTGACGGGTGCAGCCAGGCGGCGGCGGGCGGCACGAGCGGGGCGGGCAGGGCAGGGAGGAGAGGAGGGAGAGGAGGGGGAGCAGCGGGACGCACCGACTGCAGCCACTTGGGGACATTGGGGCGGCCCCAGTTGCCCCAGCCCAGCACCTCCATCTGTGTGCCGGCAGCAAACTTGCGCTTCTCTGCAGGCAGAGGCAGGCGGCGCCGCGCGGGGGACGCGTCGGCGGTCGCGCAGGCCGCCACGGCACGCCCCGCCGCACCAAAAACACAAAGCTGTGCAGCCCTGTGTGCAACACTCTGTGCTCCTGCTGCGCTGGCTGTGCAGGGCTGGCCAGCGAGGCGTGGACCAACTGGCAGCGCGCTCCACTCACGTCCGGGCAGGCGGATGGGGGTCATGAGGGAGGGCACGCTGGGGATCTTGCCGCCGCCCAGCCGCATCAGCGCAATGTCGTTGAGCGCCGGGTTCGCCTGCGGCACGCGACCGCCACGCGAGCGGCGGCGTGAGAAGCCGGGCGAGCAGGCAGGGCAAGCAGGGAGCCTGTGAGGTCCCGCGCAGCGCACGGCTCTGCCAGGCTGCGAGCCCGGCTTCAGCCCTGGGCGCCCCACGTGCCACGCTGCACTCCCCATGCCCGCAGGCACCCAGCCCGCACCCACCCGACGGTCCCAGGCCGAGTGGATCAGTGTGGCGGTAACAAAGCGGATCTCGTACTCGCCGCCGTACCGCGGATACACGCCGATGCGCAGCTGCGGGGTGCAGGCGGGGCACGCACAGGCGAGGCCCGCGAGTGAGCGCCGGGGCTGCCGGGCTGCCAGGCAGGCAGGCAGGCACCCCGGCCCGGGCTCCGGATCCTCAGCCCCAGCCTTGTGTGGCGCTCCCCCGAGCCGCCAGCCTGGCCCATGAGCCACGGCTGCGCTGCACGCCACTACTGCTTGCTGCTGCACGCACCCACGGGAACAGGGTGGCCTGCTTGGGGATGCCCCAGCCGGGCACGGTGCAGCTGGCTGAGGTGAGCAGCACGTTGGAGGCGATGAGCACGCCGCCGCAGATAGGGTCTGCAGGCGGGCGGCGGCCAGGAGGCAGGCGTCAGCCCGCGGCGGCGGCGCCGGGCGGCGAGGGACTCACGCTCCGGCCGGCTGGCAGGAGGAGCGGCGCGGATGGCTGCCACGGGAAGGGCTGGGGCGTGGCAGCGCCAGGGCGCCCCTCGCCGCCCCTTGCTTCCCTGCTGCGGCCTGCGCATGCCCACTCAAGCAAGGAACCATGCCCACGCGCACACACCTCCTTTTGTTGGTCCGGTGCTGTACCGCAGGGACGTCATCCATCGAAACCTGCTCACAACATACACACGCGCGCGCGCGCGGGTGTGGTGCGGGTCAGCCGCCTTCTCACGCTCTATGCCAGCGGCAGCAGCCCCAGGTGGTGCACGTGTGTGCAGGGCATGGAGGTGGTGGGCTGCCCGTGTGCACCCACGCATGGTCCAGGACCCACACGTGGGATCGCATGGAGCATGCGCGCTGGGCGTGTGGCACCCAAGGTGCCTCTGCCGGCAGGCAGGCAGCGGGGCGCTCGAGGTCTCCTACCTGTTCAAGAGGGCATCGTTGCCGCCTGCCACCGATGCCGTCACCTCATCGTCTCCAAGCAGCTCCCGGCTGCACATGCGGCATTGCAGTGGCGGCGGCGGCGGCGCGCTCAGCGGCAGCAGGGGCAACCGCAGGCGCACACAATGCACCATGGCTACAGCTGCGCATACAGCCGCTGCAGCCAGAGAGCGCTGCGCCGTTGCTGCGGCCTGGCTGCCACGCCGCTGGATGCGGTGTGCTTGCAGACAACAGCACAGCATGCAGGGGGACAAACCACGCCGGCAATGCAGCCGCCAGTTGTGGCAGGCAGCACCAGCAAACACGGCGCCAGCGGCCGGCACCGCCACACACCTGCGGGCCGCCACCGACACTACCCCAGCCGCCACTAACGCCGCCAGCAGCAGCCGCGTTGCTGTGTTCATGTGCCAGCCTGCACAGCAGCAGCAGGGAGCGGCGAAGCGAGACCTGGAAGAGGCTGGGGCGCCCCTCCGACCTTGCATCCCGCGGGGCGGCGGCGGTCAGCTGCTCACCCTGGCACCGCCACGCCCTGCAGGTGATCCTGGGCGCGGAACCGGGGCCCGGGCAGCACAGTTGCGAGGACGGGGGGGACGACCAGCCGCCACGCAGAGTTCAGGCCTTGGGCTGTCAACTTGTTGCTGCAACTATTGTTTGCAATTAACTCACGAAAATTTGGCCTCCCAGCGCGGCTGTGGTCAGCACTTCGCGAGGTGGCTGGAAGCGTGGCTCGCCGCCTAGGGCCCGCTCAATTGCTTGGGTTTAATGCCCCACGCGGGTCTCATGGGCAAGTGTCTGCCCAACTTTGGAGGCGCCACGCCGCTGGCACCAGGAAACCCCTCTTGGCGCCGCATCAAGGCGGCCGCCGACGGGCCCCTAACGCGGCCGCTACTAGGAGGTGGAGATATCCATGCTGTGCCTTGTGGCTGAGGGATGGCCTGAGAAGCAGCATCCATTCCAGCCCTGGGACTGGTTAGGCCAGCAACGCTGCCCCCAAGCGGCGGAAGAGCTCGACTGCTGCGTGCGGGGCGCTTCCACCGCGTCAACCGCACACCACCAGTCGAGGGTGGCGCGGAATACACGGGCTGAGCAACCTTGCAGAGAGTTCCCTCCTGTCTGATGGCAGCCCTACAAGCCTTCCCTCTGCCTGCCCTGCAGCCGGGCTGGCTCCCTAGGGAGGTGCAAGCCAGCAGGGGCGGCGCGTGAGGGAACGGCTGCTGCTCGTCTCAATGCCGACCGTCAACATTGAAAATGCAATCACTGCTGAATGACTTGGCGGCCGACAGCGGCCCTGGCCTGAAAGTTTGAAAACAGCCGTTGCATAGCACACAGCGGCAGCGGCGACGTGGCGGTGGAAAGACTCGTTTGAAACTTAGGCAGAAGCAATGCAGCTGAGCACAGCGGCTCTTCTGCTCTGCCTTTGCACAACTCAAAGCCTTGGACGAGCCAGGCAGAGCCTCCAGCCGCACCTAGGTTCTCGTGGCTGCACCAGCTCCTCTGCTCTCTGCTGCTGGCTGCTGCCCCGCTCTCAGCAGGCACCTGGCCCTTGCCTGAAGCACGCACGAGGCAAGCTGGCTTGTGCCGTTGCGGTGGGCAGGCGACCCGCTCCTCAGCCGGCGCTTGGACGCTGCCGCTCACGACCACGGCTGCCTCTTCCTGCAGATGACCTTGCTGGTGGAAGCAATCTTGGCCGTGAGCCGCAATGACGTGCAACGGATGCAGGCAGCACTAAGCCAGCAGCCCAGCCTACTCAGCGAGAGGGCCAGCGACGGCCTGACACTGCTGCACAGGGCAGCATTCGAGGGCAGCACAGAGTGCCTGCAGAGCTTGCTGGCGGCTGGTGCCATCATAGAGGCGGCCAGCACCGAGGAGGGCGCCACAGCTCTTTGGCTGGCGGCGCTGGGGGGTCATGAGGCCTGCGTGCGGGAGCTGCTGGCGGCAGGGGCAAACACTGAAGCGGCTGGCACCAATGGGGCGAGGCCGCTGCACGTTGCCTCCCACGGAGGCCACCTGGGCTGCCTGCAGCAGCTGCTGGACGCTGAAGCCAACTGCGATGCCGTGGATGATGATGGGGGAACAGCATTAATGCTGGCAGCCAAGGAGGGGCATGCATCATGCCTGCAGGCATTGCTGGCAGCTGGGGCCAGCATTGATGCAGAAGACCGGGATGGGCAGACAGCGCTGCTGCTGGCAGCTTGGGAGGGCCACGAGGCATGTGTGCAGGCGTTGGCGGCAGCGGGGGCAAACACTGAAGCAGCTGACAACGGTGGGGCGAGTCCGCTGCACGCTGCTGCCATGGGAGGCCACCTGGGCTGCCTGCAAGCCCTGCTGGCTGCAGGTGCTGACGTTGATGCAGCATACCGGTATGTGCAGACACCACTTCACCACGCTGCAGCCGAAGGCCACCAGACCTGTGTCGGCGCCCTGCTGGCAGCTGGCGCACACATGAATGCAGCAGGCCGGCTTGGGCAAGTAGCGCTGCTGCTGGCAGCTTGCAACGGACACGAGGCATGTGTGCAGGCATTGCTGGCAGCAGGGGCTAATGTTGAGGCGGTTTCCCGCAATGGCCACAGGCCCCTGCATTTCGCAGCGGCAGAAGGGTATACGGCATGCCTCAACCTGCTGATCGCTGCCCATGCCAACATTGAGGCAGCCGACAGCCACCAGAGGACAGCCCTGCACTGGGCAGCAGAACGCAGCCGCCTGCCAGCCATTTGCTGCCTGGTTGCAGCAGGGGCGAGCATGGTGCACCGGCATGAGGAAGGCCTCACCCCACGCATGCATGCAATCCATTGGAGGCAGCCAGATGCAGCACAGCTGCTGCTGGAGCTGGAGCAGCAGCAGGCGGGAAGGCGGCAGCCGGGTGTGCCCAGCAGCAGGGCCCCACGCCGGAAGCAGGCTGAAGCCCCAGGGACTGCCCCAGCCTCCACGGCTGCTGCCAAGGCTGAGGCTGCCGCCGCCGAGCTGCTGGCAGAGGAGGAGCGCCAGGAGGAGCAGCAGGCAACCAGGCAGGCAGCCAAGGCCGCCAAGCGGCAGCGCCAGAAAAAACAGCAGCGCCAGTGGGCTGCTATGCCGGCAGGAGAGGCGGATGAGACTGCCACAGGCCAGGCTGCGGTGGCAGAGCCAGCTTCTGAGCAGGCAGAGGATGCATCAATGGCAGCTGCAGGTGCCTCCACGCCAGCTGTGGCCGGACCAGAGCCGGCAGAGCAGCTCACCCCCGCCATCTGCCCAGCTACGCCCGCCACACCTGCTGCTGCTACTGGCAGCCAGCAGGGCAGCGGCAAGAAGCAGAGCAAGAAGAAGAAGTACAAGGGAGGAGCGCAGACGGCGGCAGCGCAGCCACACGTGCCGGCAGCCGCTGGAAGCGCTGGTGCCACCTCCACCAGGGGAGCTGAAGGGGCACCAGCAGGAGAGTCAGCATCAACGGCTGGAAACAGCAGCGGTGCCGATGACAGCGCTGAGCTGGCGCAGCTGCTGCAGCAACTGGGGGTGCAGGCAGCATGGGAGGGCCCCTCTTCCGCTGCCGTCAAAAATCGCGCACGCCTGTGCCCAGCGGCGTGTTTGCTGGCAGCCCACCAGCCCACCCCTGCCCTTCCTCTCTGCCTGCCCTGCAGCCTGGATGGCACGCCAGGCAGCGGCGGGCCAGCCACCCTGCTCCCCGCTGACCAACCTGCCGCTGGCGAATCTGGTGCTGCTCCCGAGCGTGACCATGCGCAGCCTGGTGCTGGTGCTGCACGCGGCGGGGCTGCTGGAGTGAACAGACAGGGCAGCGCTGCCCCTTCTGCTTGCTTGCTTGTTTTTTTATCACACTGGCTGATTGCAAAGGGATCGCAAAGACCCACCCCGCGAGCCAGCTTCGCCTCCCAAGCATTCCACTGCGGCCAGGCAAGAGGATCGGGCTGCCAGCGAGGGCAACAGAGCTGCTGCCATGCCCCTTCCGCACGGCAAGCACCCAGCAACAGCGATGCAAGCCTTTCGCGCACAGCAGCCACCTCCCCTCCTTGCCGCTCTCATGCCACCAGCTCACAGCCCCAGCGTCAACCGTGGAGAAGGGCAGCAGCGCTGCGCTCAGGCCAGCCACTCACTCCCAGCTGTGTACGGGGCTGCTGCCACATACACCTGCCTCCTCCTTTACTCGGGCTGCCCCGCTTGCGCTGCCTGCCCGGGAAGGGGAGCAGGCACGCTGCTGCCAACACACACCCCTCCACTGGCTGCCTGCCCTTCCCCCTCAAGCAAGTGCATTGATTCCCAGTGAGCGGTGGTGGTGTTGAATAACCAGTTGTGTTTGTTTGTGTGGGTTGCGGGGCGGCCTTGCGCTTAGGCGGAGGTGAACTTGGTCACGGCCTTGGTGCCCTCAGACACGGCATGCTTGGCCAGCTCGCCGGGCAGCACCAGGCGCACGGCAGTCTGGATCTCGCGGGAGGTCAGGGTGGGCTTCTTGTTGACGCGGGACAGCTGGGCGGCGGCGGTGGCAATCTTCTCAAACTGGTCGGCGATGAAGGAGTTGAGGATGGCCATGGACTTGGAGGAGATGCCGGTGTCGGGGTGCACCTGCTTGAGCACCTTGAAGATGTAGAGCTTGTAGCTCTCAGTGCCCTTCTTCGTCTTCTTGCCCTTCTTGCCCTCTTTGGGGGCCTTGGCGGCCTTCTTGGCCGGGGCGGGCTTCTTGGCGGGGGGGGCCATGGTGCTGGGTTGGTTGTTGGGGGTGAGAAACAGGAGAGAGTGGGTGGCTGGGAGGGCATGCAGGCGGCCTGATGTAGTTTGCACCAGGAGGCCCCTCCAATCCGGGGGCCGACGCATGGCGACAGGCACCTGGCACAGGGGAGTGGGCCCCGGGTGAGTGGCGCCTGCACAACAGTTCCCCAGCCTCCCCGCATACAAAAGCGGGCCCTCCGCCGCCCAGCCACCCACTCCCCCCCCTCTCAATACCCCCGACACCCCCTCAACCCAACCACCATGTCTGGCCGCGGCAAGGGCAAGACCTCCGGCAAGAAGGCCGTGAGCAAGAGCTCCAAGGCCGGCCTGCAGTTCCCCGTGGGCCGCATCGCCCGCTACCTGAAGAAGGGGCGGTACGCCGAGCGCATCGGTGCCGGCGCCCCCGTGTACCTGGCCGCCGTGCTGGAGTACCTGGCGGCCGAGGTGCTGGAGCTGGCCGGCAACGCCGCCCGCGACAACAAGAAGACCCGCATCATCCCCCGCCACATCCAGCTGGCTGTGCGCAACGACGAGGAGCTGAGCAAGCTGCTGGCAGGCGTGACCATTGCCGAGGGCGGCGTGCTGCCCAACATCCACTCCGTGCTGCTCCCCAAGAAGAGCGGCAAGAAGACCGAGGCCTGAAGCGCCTGAGCTGCCTCTTGGCTCACCTTCTACACAACAACAAACAAACCAATTGGTGTTATTCAACACCACCTCGCTCGGAAACCGCTCGCTGCCTTGCTGTGTTGGGCGTGCGCTGTCGCTGCTTTGTGTTGGTGGGGCGGTGCTGCCTTGGCGGGTGGTCGGTGCTGGAGGGCACACCGAGGCAGCCAGGGTAGGTGGAGGGCAGGCAGGCCAAGAGAAGGCAGACCAGCCAGCCAAAAGCCAGCAAGGAGGAACGCCCGACCGCCAGCTGGCCCCTGCCCGCCTGGCTGCGCCCTGCTGGCTGCCCCTCTGGCCTTGCTGGTGCCCTCGTGTGTGTGCCTGTGCGGGCAGGCCTGCCTTGCTCGCTGCCGGGCTCGGGGAGGGGAAGAGGCACACCCACCCAGCACTGCCACACAGCTGTCCACCCAAGAGGCAGGCGCCAGGCCAGGCAGCAGCAGGCAAAGGGGCATCAGCAGCATAAGGTAGCCAGCCCCCCACACCCACCAGCCCCAACCGCCTCTTCCCAACATCGCAACGTGCAAGACTGTTTCCGTGTGGGTGGGTGGTGTTGAATAACACCAGTTTGTTGTTTGTGTGGGTTGCTTGTGAGGCTTGGGACCCAGGATCGCTTACGCGCCGAAGCCGTACAGGGTGCGGCCCTGGCGCTTGAGGGCGTACACCACGTCAAAGGCGGTGACAGTCTTGCGGCGGGCGTGCTCGGTGTAGGTCACCGCGTCGCGCACCACGTTCTCCAGGAACACCTTGAGCACGCCCCGGGTCTCCTCGTAGATCAGACCGCTGATGCGCTTGACGCCGCCACGGCGGGCCAGGCGGCGGATGGCAGGCTTGGTGATGCCCTGGATGTTGTCGCGCAGCACCTTGCGGTGGCGCTTGGCGCCGCCCTTGCCGAGGCCCTTGCCGCCCTTGCCGCGTCCAGACATGGTTGCTTGGTGGGTGGTGGTGGTGTGGGGGGAGGAGAGGGGAGTGGTGGGTGGGCGGGCGGCGGCAGGGGTCTTGAGGCGGGCTGGGCGGGGCGGCACCCAGCGGGACGTGCTAATCCCTGGCCGCCTGCTGGTGCGGTGCCTGTGGATGGTGCACCAGCGGCCGTACCTCACCAGGTGGCCCCCACTGGGTGCCTCACTTTGCCTCCCCTGCACAAAACCACCCCCGACAGCCGCCCACAGCCACCACTCCTCCGCCCCTCTCCCACCCCCACCCCCAGCACCATGGCCCGCACCAAGCAGACCGCCCGCAAGTCCCCGGTGGCAAGGCGCCCCGGAAGCAGCTGGCCACCAAGGCCGCCCGCAAGTCGGCCCCCGCCACCGGCGGCGTGAAGAAGCCCCATCGCTACAGGCCCGGCACCGTGGCCCTGCGCGAGATCCGCAAGTACCAGAAGTCCACGGAGCTGCTGATCCGCAAGCTGCCCTTCCAGCGCCTGGTCCGTGAGATTGCCCAGGACTTCAAGACCGACCTGCGCTTCCAGTCCAGCGCCGTGCTGGCGCTGCAGGAGGCCGCCGAGGCCTACCTGGTGGGCCTGTTCGAGGACACCAACCTGTGTGCCATCCACGCCAAGCGCGTCACCATCATGCCCAAGGACATCCAGCTGGCCCGCCGCATCCGTGGCGAGCGCGCTTAAGCGCCCGGCGCTCTCTCTCCAGCTGACGGCTCATCCCTTCACCACCAAAAAAGCAAACTGGTGTTATTCAACACCACCCTTTGACACTGGGAAACAAGCTGCTGTGTACAGTGAGGTGTGGGCGGGCGTGTTGGGGGGGGTCACAGTACAAAGAGAGGCGGGGGGTGGGCGAGGGGCAAAGCACCGATTGTGGGGTTGTGGCACCTGGCTGGTCCTCTGCCCCTTGGCTTGCTGGGGCGGGGCTGCTGGCAGGGCGGTGCACACAGGTGCAGCTGCAGGATACAGCTGCGGCCAGCCTTCGACAGCCAGGGCGATGGTGGACCCTCCTGCTGCACCTGTGCCCTCCCCAGCCCCTTGTCAGCCTGCCGTGCCTGGCCAGCAACGCACCAGCAGCCTCGCCACAAGCGCCTAGGAGCGTGCAACAAAGTGCACCCAAACCAAGGCTGGTTGCCGCTTTGCCGCCGCTCTTCCTTCCTCCTTCGCTGGCACTCCCACCTGTATTCTTCCACAGGCAGCAGCGGCAGCAGCCAGCCAGCGGCAGCCAACGCCTCGGCGCTGCACACAGCCACCCCAGCCGCACCGGTCAGGGTGGAACCGGTGCGGCAGTCCAGCTTTGTGTGGCAGCGCAGGTGGGCAGGTGGCGCCTGCTGAGCTGCCTGCCTGCCCTTCCCCCGCGCGGTGTGGATCGTGCTGCAGGTGGCAGCGGGGTGGGTGCCTGCTTCGCTCTTACCCACCAACGCTGCACCTCGGCCTTCGCCTCGGTGCTGGCACTGGTGGCAGCCTGGTGGCAGGACACCAAGCGGGCTGCTGGGGTGAGCAGGCGTGGCGCTTCCACAGCTTCAGGCAACCCAAGGCGCAGCGGTGCTGACTCGGCCTCTCACACACTGCACGGGCAGGCAACCCGTCAGCCTCTCGCACACCGCTCAGCCTGCCTGCTGCGCCGTGGCTGCGGCAGGGCAAAGACGAAGTGGGCCTGGCGGCAGGCGCTGCCAGACCTCTTCCACTTTGAATTATTGTGTTGAAGAGCAGCGCCTTGGAAACAAACAGAACAAAAAAGGGCTTCACACGCATCAGCAAGGCAGGGAAGGGTCGCCGCCCGGGCTGGCTCCAAGCGCCACGCAGGCGGCCAGGCGGCGCAACCGTGATGGCAGGCGGGCGCCGCAACGCCGTGAGCCGGGGCTCAGGACTGGGCAGCTGCTGCAGCGGTGTGCAGGCGCCGGCACTCTATCTTGTGTGCTTTCCAGTGCGCATGGGAGCAGGCCTCGCTGCAGTACCTCACAGCCCTGCACCTGCAGGCAGCAAGCAGGCGGGACAGTGCACAGAAGCATAGACTCCTGGCAGGCAGGCAGGCAGCCTGCGGAACAACACAGGGCAGCCCTAGGGTTGACAGCCTCTCTGCCGCTGCAACCCAGGGCACAGCTCACCCGCTGCAGCGACGCAGGCCGCTCGTGTTGCCGCAGCCCTCTGCTGCGCACACCCTGACACGTGCCGCTGCTGGGCGGGGGGAAGCGGGCGCTGCTGTCGCGGGTGCAGCCACTGGTGCAGTTTCTGCTTTGGTTGGTGTCTCTGCCGTGCAAGCTGCGCTTGTTGCAGGTGCCACAGGTGCTGCTGGTGCTGATGGCCTCTCCTTTGCTGCGCTGATTCCTCTGGCTGCCTCCACCGCCGCTTCTTCTGGTGTACTCTCCGCTTGCACAGGGGCGGCGCTGGCGCTTGCTGCTGCCGCTGCAGGCCTGGACGTACCTGCACCTGCTTCCACCGCCGCTTCCACCTGCTGCGGGGTCAGCTCTGCCCCCGCAGCCTGGCCTGCGGCAATCCCGCCCGCGTCTCCTGCCGGCACAGCAGCCCGCTGGCGCCGCCGCTCCTTCTGTCGCTGCCGCTTGGCGGCCTTGGCCGCCTGCCTGACCGCCTGCTGCTCCCTCTCGCGCTCCTCCTCTGCCAGCAGCTGGCCGGCCGCAGCCTCGGCTGCAGCCTCGGCAGCAGCTGCGGAGGCTGGGCCAGTTACCGCGGCTTCAGCCTGCTCCAGCTGTGGGGCCCTGCTGCTGGGCACACTCAGCTGCTGCCTTTCCGCCTGCTGCCGCTCCAGCTCCAGCAGCAGCTGTGCTGCTTCCGGCTGCTTATGCTTGATTGCACGCATGCGAGGGGTGAGGCCTTCCTCATCCCGCAGCGCCATGTTCGCCCCTGCCGCAACCAAGCAGCGAATGGCTGGCAGGTGGCCGCCTTCTGCTGCCCAGTGCAGGGCTGTCATCTGGTGGCTGTCAGCTGCCTGAAGGTTGGCATGGGCAGCGATCAGCAGGTTGAGGCATGCGGGGTGCCCGCAGACTGCTGCAGCATGCAGGGGCCTGTGGCCATCCCCGCAACGTGCCTCAACGTTTGCCCCTGCTGCCAGCAATGCCTGCACACAAGCCTCGTGCCCCTTCCATGCTGCCATCTGCAGCCCTGTCTGCCCATACCGGTCTACGGCATCAAAGTTGGCCCCAGCTGCCAGCAGCTGCTGCAGGCATGATGCATGCCCCTGCCTGGCTGCCATCAATACTGCCGTTGTCCCATCATCATCCACAACGTCGCAGTTGGCTCCAGCGTCCAGCAGCTGCTGCAGGCAGCCCAGGTGGCCTCCCAGGGCGGCAACATGCAGCGGCCTCGCCCCATTGGTGCCAGCCGCCTCAGTGTTTGCCCCTGCCGCCAGCAGCTCCCGCACGTAGTCCTCATGGCCCTGAAGCGCAGCAACGAACAGAGCTGTGGCCCCCTCCTCAGTGCTGGCCGCCTCTACGCTGGCGCCAGCCGCCAGCAAGATCCGCAGGCAATCTGTGCTGCCCAGGAATGCTGCCGTGTGCAGCAGCGTGAAGCCGCCGCTGTCCCTATAGGTGAGTAGGCTGGGCTGCTGGCTGAGTGATGCCTGCAGCCGTTGCCCGTCGTTGCGCCGCACGGCCAAATCCGCTTCCGACAGCAAGCTCATCTGCAGGAAGAGGCAACCGTGGTGAGCACCAGCGTCCAAGAGCGGCGGCTGAGGAGCAGGCCGCCTGCCCACCGTGACGGCAGCAGCCAGCTTGCCTCGTGCGTGCTTCAGGGCAGCGCCAGGTGCCTGCTGAGAGCGGGGCAGCAGCCAGCAGGCCAGAACAGAGGAGCTGTGGCAGTCACGAGAACCTAGGTGCGGCTTGAGGCTCTGCCTTGCCCGTCCAAGGCTTTTTAAGTGCAGGGGCAAAGCAGAAGAGGCACTGTGCTGCGCCAGTGCCTGGTTCTGCCACGGCTCAGCTTTCCACCGCCACGACGCCGCCGCCTGTGTGCAGTCTGCCAAGGGAGGCCCCACAAGCTGCAAGACAGTTCCCTCCTGACAACCAACACCACAGGATGGCAACGCCAGCGGCAGGGTGAAGCGAGGCGAGGGTGTGGGGGCACGCTGTTGCGCCACAGCACTGCCGCTGCCGGCGCCACCGCCCTAACATTCTTCGCGCTCGCCGTGCGCCAGTTCCGAGCCTCGCTGCCCAAGCCCGCAGGCGGCCTGCTCACCCTGGTCTCTATTGGAGGGCGGAGAGCGGAGATGGCGGCGAGACGCAGCGTGCCACCTGCCTCGCACCCGCCCTGCACCTCGCACGATTCCCTGTGGTGGTGTGTAACACAGTGTGCGGCGCAGCATTCCCTGCTGACCCTTTGAGAGGAAAAATGGTTGGTTGGGCGTGCCTCAGCAGGAGAGAAGACAAGCTGGGCAAGAGGGTGTGGGAGGTGTACAAGCCTTGCGGCACAGGCACTGGCACACGCGAAGCGCCGCGGTAGGAAGATTGCTCTGCAACAAAATCAAGAAACATTCCCGGCAGAGGAGGGAGCAGGGGAGCAGCGCACGCGCAGGCGGGCAGCCAGCGCTGGGCCGTGCCGTGCTGCGCCACGCTGCACCGTGCTGGCGCCGGGCCGCTACCGGCGGGACAGCGCGGGGCTGGATGTGTTATAGGCCTCCACCCGCCCCCCCACGTCCACCGCCGCCGTCACCACGTACACGGCACCTGCCTGGAAGTCGCAGGGGCCGTAGGAGGCGGGGCGGATGCCCACCACCTGGATAAGGTAATCGTTGGGGGCCACCTGCGGAGAGGGTGAGCAGGAGGGTGGCGGGGAGGAGGGCAGGATGTTAGGTCGCCGGTGTGGTGTGTGAGGGACGGTGGGGTGTTGGGAAAGTGGCGGTGGGGGGCAGGCGGAGGGGGCAGGGCCGGCGGCCCGGCATGCAGGAGGCAGGGCGTGCCGGCAGACCGGCTGGGAGGTGGGCGGTAGGGTGGCAGGCGCCTGCTGCCCTCCTCCGGCCGCTCAAGTGGGCAGGCAGGCAGGCAGGCAGGCAGGCAGGCAGGCAGGCGGGCTGGCGGCTGGCCTCACGTCTTTGCAGGCCTGGCTGCCGGCGGTGGCGGTGTTTGCCAGGCACACGCGGGAGTACTGTGCGGGCGGGGTTGCCGGGTTGCCGAAGCTGCCGCTGCTGAAGGTCGACTGGTAGAGGCTGGCCAGCACCTGCATGCCGCCAAGGGAAGCAGGGGAAAGAGGCGCGGGGGCAAGGGGGGTGTCAGCGCCTGCAGCATGAGTGCCTCTGATACCCCACCCCCGGATGACCTTTGAAGAAAGCACAGCCAGGCTGGCAGCCCGTGGCAACGCTGTGGCCCTGCAAGGCAACGAGCGGCGGCCAGGTCGGGTGTGCGGCGGCAGGCATGCGGCGGCGGCGCACCGAGGGCTCGTTGGCGACGACGTGGCGGGGCAGGTGCGCGCGGCTGGCAAAGCCGTCGATGCATTGGTCGTATGCCAGCGTCCAGCACTGGGGGGAGCCGGCTGCAGGCGCGGGAGTGCGGGGGAGGGAGGGGGTGAGGAGGGCTGCGTATTGCGTGTGCAAAGGAGGCGGGGCCACAGACAGGCAGGGGTGGGTGTAATGTAAAGAGAGTGTGGGCGGCTGGTTGGCGGTGGGAGACGAGCGGGCACCAGCAGCACAGGGCCTGCAACCGCCGCCCCCTGCCGCCCTGCCTGCCCCGCCGGCGCTGCAGCCAGCGAGCGTCCCCCACCCCTCCCCGGCAGCAGCGCAGCGCACCGCCGGACAGGCCGCTGTCGCAGGCGCCGGCCGCAGAGGAGGCGGTGAGGCGGCTGGCGCCCTGCGGCGTCGGGCGCGCGGTCAGGCGGGCCAGGCGCTGCTGGGCGTACAAGTCCGCAGGCAGGCTGGAGCCGGCGCCGTCGTCCAGAGGCTCAATCAGCCAGCGCTGGCCCAGGCACTGCGGGGTGGAAGGGGGGCCGTGGGGGGGTCAGGGTCTAGTAGAGAAGGCTTAGCGCGGCGTGGGGCGAAAGAGGGAGGCCAAGGCCGGCCTCTAGGCAGTGAAGCTGCTGGGGCCGGAGCTGCTTCACTCCCACTTCCTCTGCCGCAGCACCGGGGTGCACCTCCCCGGCAAGCCGGCGAGCGCTGCCCAGCATCCTGGGCCAGCCCTGCCGCAGCCCTGCCGCAGCCTGCCTCCCTCCCACCGCCACCCTCTCCCGCAGCTTGCCTGGTTGGTGGTCATGAAGGCGCCCACAAAGTTGAGGTCGTCTCCAAAGGAGCACGGCGGCAGCAGCAGCGGCAGGTACAGCCCGACCTGCAGCGCCGCCGCCGACACGCGGCCGTCGGCGGAGGCCACGGGCACGCCCTCGGGCTTGGCGTCGCGCTCCCACGGCTGCCGCTGGTCCAGGCTCTTGCGCATGCGCCGCGCCCAGGGCGCCGTGGCGGCCCGCGGCTTGCCCTCCTTCCCCTCCTCCTCCTCAGCCTCCTCCTCAATGACAGCGGGATCCTCCTGCTGCCTGGCCGGCTGCTCCTCCTCCTCCTTCTCCGCCTCTTGGGCTTGTGCCTTGACTTTCTTCGCCGGCTGCTCCTCCTCCTCCTTCGCCTCGGCCTCATCATCATCAGCCTGCGCCTTGACTTTCTTCACTGGCTCCTGCTTCTTCTCCTCCTCCTCCTCCTCGACCTTGGCTGCCAGCAGCTTGCGTGCCCGCCACAAGTCTGCCGGGGAGGGCGCCAGGCCCAGCATGCGGCGCATCGTCCTGCGGACAGCAGGGCGGGTGCGGGGCAACACGCGTGGCGGGGTGAGCGCCAGGGGCGGGCACGGCAGCAGGCAGCGCCTGGGTGTAGCAGGCGCAGCATGGCCAAGACGCGGAGCAGCCCGAGCTGCCCAGCAGGGCAAGCTGCCTGGCGCCGGCA